AGTGCTGCCTTTTTGGCAATCTGCAGCAAATCACGCGTGTTGGGGCATGCGTCTTAGCGAAAGTCGGGGACTCCAAAAAAAGCAGTTGAACCGACATTGTTCGCTTGGTTGAACATTGACGTGTCGACTGGACTGGAGCGACGCCCTGCGATTGCGTATGAGTATAAACTAGAAGACGAACGACGATTGAATCAAGATGGGAGAGTATCAAGAATTGGTGGTTGAAAACAGGGGAATAAAAGTGAAGTTGAAGTGTTGCGACTAGAATTTGAAAGCGCAAGTGGGAATTAGAGGACGGGAAGGCCTGAACAGTAGTACCCTGCTCGATGCAGCGCCGTTGATTATCCACTGCGACCGCCAGAGTAACGAAATTGTTTGAACCGAAATTCCTTGTATCGCGTGGTTAGAGTACTGTCAAGCTACCCAGGCATAGATGAGAGAACGATTAGGGTTCCCAGTCTGAAACTTTACTTCTAGACAACGGGATTTTGAGCATTGAGCTATAGATAGTCTGTATTATGGAGGGCCGGAAGACGGCTTGTCATTCCTCTAATCATTGACCAAACGGGTATGAGTGTCTCCAGAGGCACATCACCCAGCACAGCCCACTGGGTCGCTGAGATATCAAAACCATCACACCTCGTTATGGGGTGTGTGTGATCTACAGATCGCCGTTTGCATCTACGTAGGCGCGGCGACCTCGCGATAGACCCAGCCCACACGCCGGCCCGTATCTTAAAGAGTCACAAGCCTTTCTTGTGCCCGAGCTACGCGCATATAATGCTCGGATAATATTTACATATTTCTCGGGCACACCTTTCCTGAGTAGACAGTCCCAAAGGGCACATCGATCAAACGAATTAAAGGCCCCTTTGATGTCTAGGGACACGACTACGGTGGGTCGCAGGTAAACATGGCGGTGCTTCAACAACTGACTTAATGTAAAGATGTGGACAATGCAGCCCCGATTTCGACGAAACTCGGCTTGCTCCTCGCGCATCTGGCTTTCACGAGTGCCAGTCAGTCTATGGAGGACGACAGTCGCAAGTAACTTAAGGGCAATGGAGATCAGACTGATTCCTCTATGACTGCCACATTCGGAACGGAATCCTCCCTTGAAAATTGGTGCCATTACCGAGCGCCTCTAGTCTGTCGGGACAGTCTCCTGCTCCCGTAGATTCACTAGTATGTTATTTATATCGTCCAAAAGAGCAGTGCACCCAAATTTGAAGAGAGTTGTATGAAATACATCTGCCTCGGTGGTCTTGTTTAATTTCAGCCGTCTAATCCCATGTTCGAATTCTGCGCACGAGGGCACATCCAAGGGAACAGCCCCAAAAGTAGAGCGCCCATTGGCCGATAGAGAAACTGGTAACTCTAACTGATTAAACTACCAACATCTGCGCTCGTGAATGAGGCACCGCGAGATAAGCGTGTGCCCAGACATGGAAAGCGTGTGCCCAAGCCACTGAAATCAGCGCAATGAAATTATTTTGTTCAGGGACCGGCAAAGTCTCTCTGATCTACAAATCCGTCAACCATCCTCATTACTAGTGTGATGTTATCATACACCAGCAGTGCTCCGCAGGCAACAGTAATTAAAAGTAGGCAGTCTCTCACCATCCTTTTCGCGAGCAGGCCACGGTTTGCATTCATAGAGCAGGACTGCTCTCATCGTGGCATTGTAAACTCGGTCCTTCAGAGAAACTCAGATCGTCTCGACGCCAGAGATAGTGGAGATTAACAAAAGTAACCTGAGTCTTGGAGACGCACAAACTAACCTCATTTGTTAAACCGTTGGCGCTGAGGCAGTTTCCGAGGTAAACGGACTTGTCTATCACCTCGAACGGATGACCTGGGAGATGGACACCAACGTACACATGACATTTTTGAGTGGCCGTCAAGGAGTTGCAGATTACGGCGATATCGTCTGCATACTCCAAATACCGAAGTCGGTCTCGGAAACAGCTCGGCGCCGCTGCCGGCCTGCATTGTAATCCGTGCGCATGGGTTCAAGCTTGCGTACGGACTGTGCAACCATCGCAGTATCCTTAGCTCATGTGCAACTGGTGTTGGTTGCGCTGCAGCATATGTCGGTACTGCGTACCGGCGTGCTGCTGATGCCATTCTTTCTTTTCGACACCGCTGGGTTCGCATTTCTCCAGAGCACTCCAGAATACTTTCCATTCGGAAATTGAAAAGGAAGGGAGATGCTGGGCAACCCTGTCTTACACCACTGGTGATACTAAAGGAGGCGAAAGTCCGCCGTACACCCACACTCGGCCCGAGCTTTCAGAGTAGATGGCTTGAAGCATGGAGACATACTTGTTGGGCACTACCCTTCTCCGCAGCTCGGTTAGCTGGGTCAAACGCGGCTCTTACATATAAAGTAACGATTGTTGGCCGCCCAAATGTCTGACGACGTTCGAGTATTTGACGGATGTGGTCAATGCAACTCCGACCTGACGGGAATCCATCTTGCTCTTCTTGTATGCTCTGGTCGCGTAGCACGCTGAGCCTTCTTGGAAGCAACACAGATGAGACTAATCCTGCCGCGGATGGCGAAGTCAGTTCGGGTACCCTTTTTAAAGATAGACCCGAATCATACAGTATAAATTCGATGACCCGAATCTCTTAAAGGAAGGAACTCCCGAGCGAGTAATGGGCTTTATCTTTGAAAAAGACCGGAGGGAGTTCATCTGCGCCACATGCTTTGTAGCGCTTTATGAAGCGAAGCTTATGGACAACCTCAGCCTCAGATAGTGGTGGGGCATCTACACACCAGGAAACACTGGATTCCTGAATGTGTGATGACTTCCTCTTGGTTACGACACATTCTGACAATCCGGATCTGGCTATATCCACGCACATCAAGGGAACCGACGAAGTTCGTACGATCCGTGAGACTTAGGCGCAACACGGTTACTACGCGCAAACTCAACGGGCTCCTAGGCAACTTCGCACGCGACTACTCGAAACCGAGTGAAATAGGAAAAAGACAAGCCTTTCACAACGGACATTTTTACCTATCAGACTGAAGGCAATTACAACGTGCTCTGGCTTTGCTTGTTTACCGCGATTGTAAAATATGTGATTTTTTACGTGGACTAGTTTACGTAAACAAACCCTGGCAGCAAGACATACGCAAGTGAATTGGCACTATTTGGATGTGCCAACGGAACATGTCGAAAAGTAAATGTTGGTAGATGCGGAGGCTGGATCGAAAAATGAATGTTTCATAGGCACAAAGGCTGAATGTTACATGGACGCGGATGTTGGCGGTAAGCAGGAATGTTTCTTAGGTGCAAGAACTAATCAGAAAATGAATGTCTCACGAGTGGAAAGGCTAATCGAACATATGCATTGGTCAACTGCGGGTTTCAGAGACTTGCTTTCGATCTTATGGGGTTGTGCGGTCCCCATAACAAAATGGGAACTCATTGTTGCTGCTAGCCAGTTAAACTGCTGCTCAACATGCTCGGCGCAACGCCCAATTCGGTGTTTTTGACAGTGGTTTGACTCACCATTGGTTTCGCACAAAACCTCGTTTGCAGTAACTTTTCTGCCGCCAGTGGATCGGATCAGGAGAAAAACTTTTCGGACATTCTGTGAGGTAGCCGCTTGCTTCATCTCAATGACCCGCTGTGTCTACAATGCGTGGCGACCTACCCAGAGATGCTGCGGAAGCAAAGCGTCGATACTGTGTACAGACGTACCGGCCTTTCAGTGCAGCTTTATTAGTCCTGCGCAGAGAATGGTATTCAACGCCAGCAGGGATTGCTTGACGAGATTTGAGAAGTTTGAGAGATCCCGCAAAGAACAAGCAGTTGATAGAACTACTGGTGAAGCCACAGACCAGGGTTGTATAATAATACATTCTCCGCCGATGTGTGTCCAGTGTGTTTCGATTTATATGCATGCGGCAGTTTTCACTCTTGTGGCGAAAGCATCCTGAGAGGCGAAAATAACCTTCGGAGCAGAAGACAGCCACGTCAAGTTGTTTCTGGCGGCGCTGCTTTGAGCCACCAAAACCTAGCGCGATCTTGGCACACACCAGCACATAATCCGAAGGGAGACAGATTCTTCAAATTGATTTACTATCCTGTATGCAGCCCGCTAGCGATAACGACATAGTTATAAAGACCTGATTATCGAACGGAGATAAAGTGCAATCGGTATAATACCTTTGTACTTTTCGCTCTCCCGCCTCACCCGGAAGTTATCCGACCATTGATGTTAGTTCGGCGGAGCTTCCTTGAGTTTATCGTTATGCATGTTGGACGCAGCAGGTCATTGACATTAAGCAGGCGGCCACCTTATAAGATTTCTGTAGACGTCTTCTGATTCGATCCACTGGTGGCAGAAAACCTACTGTAAACGAAATTTTACGCGAAACCAATAGTGAGCCAGTTCACTGTCAAAAACGCCGAATTGAGCGTTGCGCCAAGCATTTTGAGCAACAGTTTAATTGGCTACCAGTAACGATGAGTTCCCATTCAGAAATCCCTGGTGTATAGATGCCACATCACCATCTGAGGTTGAGGTTGCCCATGAGCTTTACCTTCCAGAGCGCTACAATGCCTCTGACCCAAGTGAACTCCTCTAAGGTGTTTCTTACTCTCGATTAATTTGTATTGATGATGATGGTGATGGGTCATTTCATCTCCTTTACCTTGTAACGCCTTAACACTTCGTACGTCTGCCACTTTGATTGCGGTAGTAGTTTGCCTCAGTTTGGAATCAACAACTTTTCAATCGCGCTTTTTATCGACATCTGACGTCGGTATTGGTAAACTTACATCGGGATATTTTAGTAAACCCTGCTAGCCTACCTTTTGTTAACTTTGACTCAACGAAGTGACTACTTCCGGTTCTAACGATAATTTTTTTGAGCTTGTCTTTTACTGAGTACTGCGTTTTATTTTTGTGTGTGCTTGAGCAGACCTACAGCCACTTCGGTATGCTTGAGGTACTCATCTGATGCGTTTTTTGTTAAAACAGCCCTCGGCTGAGCCCACATGTAATGCAGCCCTTGAGTCTCTGCATTCTGAGGCCGAAGCCCGAGCCTACGGAAGCACAATCATCTACAGTGTCTTCTAACGAAAAAGAATTTATTGCTTCTTTGGATCCTCTGAAGAATGACCCGCTGGATTCCGAGGCGCTGCTTACTATCGAGCATTCATTCAAGCCTGAACAAGTCGGCCCTCTGGACTCATTGAAGAGACGTTGCAGCTCTGTGACTGGGGAACCGCTGGTACCCTATGTTACTAAACAAGGTAAGCACACATATGTTCACACATTTAATCTCACACGGTGTGCAAGGGCAGGAAATCAGCAGTACTTCAACGCGCCACACCGGCGCTTTGCTTCTTCACGTTCACCACCAGTTGCGCTCGGGTTAGGTATACTAGGACGCCGCCCTCACCTACGCAGATGCTAACCTATGGCCTCTGAATTCTAAAGTAGATGCTTCATCCCTTCTGCCACTGACCGACAGTTTGCAAAAAGCCACAGCGTATGGATGAGAACCATAATTGGAAAGAAGGAGCTCTGGTTAGTAGTGTAGATTCTCAACATTTCTGTCATTGTGCCTTAGTTTTCGCAATATCCGTCGGGGTTTCCAATCAGACCTTTCCGTGGTTCTTGAGCCCCATAGAGCCAATAACCCCCAGTATTGAGTTGGGTAATTTAAACTAATTACTCATACCACATGTGGATAAGGTGGAACGATGCATGCCATATTTGGGATTGTGTAACAAGACCTGAACGGCCGAACTAAGCAGGGTCCGAATTCAGGCTGAAATAAAACCACTCCAATTTGGACATAGGGTGGGATGTAGTAATGTGGTTAAATTAAATGCAGTTGAGCTATGATTGCGGTGAAGTCAAGAATGACCCAGGTCAATTGGCTAGTATTTTCACACATTAAATCAAGTTCATGCTTTCGCCAAATATTTCTTGCATTTAGCGTGCGGATGAGTAATGATACTGCTTCCGTAGCTGAACAAGTGCTTACCTGCTCCTAGAATACGTAGTGGGATTGCGCGGCAGTCTTTCTGACTGAAAAATTTGTCGAGGGGCATCATCATCTTCATTAAGCTTGCGTTGCCATCCACACCTACCATACTTCGTTGGTAGTAATGATGTGGAACAGACAGCCTCTGTTCCTAAGAGGGACGTGTTCCTATCAGTTCTCCTTTAAAGGTGATGTTGCCTTTGATCTGCTGACCAAACGAATTTCAATTGTAGTGGCTTGAACTTTCCTCGCCGCCTGCCCACACGTCCTTGTGGAAATCGCTCCCCGTATAGCCCAACGCGTTAAAGACGGACTTCGGTTCAGTCCTAACCTTACCTCTTATAGCAGTCTACTTTCGCCAGTGGTGCGAGGTATCTGGGACACACAATTAGGCGTCTGTATAAGCGCATTGCGGAGAATTGTCCAGCGGCTTTGCATCGTCAGTCGTCCCAACAGTTCCATCTAGGAACATCTAGTGAAAAGCGAACACCAAATTAGGACCGCTGATACCTTCCAAGTACTTTATGTAGCACAGCAACGGTACAGACGACCGAAGCGATCGCGATTAGGATAATTCAACCGGAATTATGCATACAGAAAGCTTTACTGCAAGAGCTTCTTCTACCTTGGCCCTAGTTAGCCTATCAGCTTTTATCACTTCGTACGCCTACAGTGATCGGATGATACGCGTGTCATTCCACCGATCAATCAACACGTGCTCTGTTACATGTGTTGTTAGGTTACTTTATCAAACAAGACTTTTGATTTTCTGTTTGTCGTGATTCCACTTCGGCTTCATCAGCTATTTGTGCTCTGCGCTTCCACTTTGCAATTGTGAATGCATGAGATTTGTCGAAAAGAGTACTTTTCAGAAAATTGTGTGCTTGTATTTCCATATGTATATGTAGTCTCGCAACCGCAACTCAAAGCCGTTTAGCTGTTTAGAGCACGAGTAAAACAACCTCCCCGCCAAACTTTATATAATAATAATAATAGTACTAATACTAGCGTTTATTCCCGAGACACGCCTGAGCAGGCCTACTTCTTTCGGAGGTTCATCATCATCGCTGTGCACGTCAGCTAGTGGCGGGAAACACCTCAGTGGCAAATGAAAAGTTTGGGGCTCCAATAATATGTCATTAAAGGACTTTTCGACTTCTTCCATCGTATTTGAATCCCCCAGACGTGCTTGTTTGCTTGTTATGTTTCCAACTCAGCGAATGATATCATTGCCACATGTCCCGGCGCGGTTGCTACTCGCCGCGTACGTGCGTTGCTTTCACGTCATGTCGTTCGGTATAAGCACTATATCTTTACTGTGTCATTCATATGAGAGTTGTGGTCAGCTCACGGAGGTAAGCAAAAAAGGACACTAACAGTCTACCAGTACGCCCTACAGACGCCTTGCTGCCATTGAGCCACCACTGGTGGCACGTGAGCTAAGCGTACTGTGAGAGTCGTCCAGTCCCCTACGCAGGCTCGAACCTGCTACCTTCAGGTTGTAAAGTTGTTCTTTGGGTTACAGGAGAGACGAAATGGTCACCATTGTCAGCACCACATGTATCAACCCCTATACGTCAAACTTGAACGTTCCTGTACCGCAATAAGGTGCCTGTATCAGCACGTTTGGCTACTTGAACCAAGTGATAGCGCTTTTGTTTGAATTCACTTTAAAAACCTCCGGACTGCAGTCGTTTGGGGCGTAAGACTAAAAGACATGAATGCACTTTGTTTTCAATCACTGGTTGCTGCTAACCTCGACGGGATAGGTATTGCGTTTCGCTCCCTTACAACATTGTATCTTTGCGCTAGCCAGATGGAGAGAGCGGGATTGCTGTTCGTGCTTGTGACGCCACTATTTACCCATGAATCACAATTCGCGGACAATATTTGTCGAAATGACTGATAACTTAGCTGAGGTCGGTTTGAATCACGCGTTCTCTACGTGAGTTGCGATGCTCGATCTTAATCTGGACCGCAATTTACTAGGAAACAAATCTCAGCCGATCCGGTCATCGGAACTGTATGTGAGACGGACAAGCATTGCATGTGACCCGCTCGCAACCCACTGCACTTGGCGGCCGGTTTTACACGTGTTTTCACTTGTCAAGTGGAGATAGTCAAGCTGCTGCCCGTGCCATCTTTTCAACTCGGCAACGAAGTACTGATACCAGTACCGCTAACGCGCTGTTTTCTAGACTCATAGTACGCAGTCGCGTTCTGTGTTTTTTTTTATCTCCTTAAACTCTTGAACAAAAGCAGCATTTGGATGTTGAGAAGTATTTTCAGGATGGAGCGGACTGAAATACATCTTTGTCATCTTACCAATAATAAGTGAGGTAAGATCAGATCGAGCGAAGCCGATCCGATCCTGTTGTACGTGGGTTGAGTGACAAGTTTTCAGCCTCAAAAACCAAACGAGATACAGAGTGTTCGATGCTTTTCTTTTTCAATGTCTTCACTCTCAAGTGCAGCACAACTGATCCAGCGGGACTGAAGCACCTGTATCCAAGTGGAAAGAGCTCTTTAGATTGTGACTTTAAAACGCCTCCACTGATCAATGACTTCACCGTCATTGAGAAAGTTTATGTCAGCTAATGGTTTTTAAAAGTTTGAAAATAAGTGGAAGTGAGAGGAAGCCAGATCTGATGAATATGGTGGGTGAGGAAGAATCTGGAAGCCTCAGTTGTGGGTTATTTTCTGAGCAATGGAAGTGATGTGGGTTGGATCATTGTTGTTGTGAAAAATGATTCCTTTCCTCAGCATTTCTAGCCTCTTTTTCAAATGTTATTTCTCTGTGACGTTTCATAAGCTTACTGCATTACTTTCCGGTGATGGCATGGCCTCTTTCAAGGAAACCAATCATCACCACAACTCGGGAATAAAAACAGTGCCATCACCTTGCCAGCTGACGGTGTAACCTTGGCTTTGTTTGGCGTAGGAGTTGATGTAAGTTGCCATTGTATTGTTTCTTCTTTTCTTTCTCATTGTAGCTGTTGAACTCAGCGATCATCCATAGTGATGAATCGTGTAAGAAAATCTTCAGCATCTGCCTCAAACAATGCCTAAGTGTTCTTTGACATCATATGTCGAATACGCTTCTGCTCAAGCGTTGGAAAACGTGGCACTCACCGAGCAGCAACTTTTGAGTAACCTAACTCCGTCAGAATATTGACTACTTGCCCATGGGAGGTGCCCAACTTTTATTCTACCTGACGAGTTGTTAATCAGCAATCTTGCATGATCACATCCACTACTACGTCAAGATTTTCTTTGGTAGTCTCGGTTGATGGTCTCCCTGACCTAAGATCGTCTTCAGTACTCTTCTGCTGCGCTTGAATTGTCGTACTCAACATTTAACTGTGACATGAAGGGGCATTGTCGTGCAGTGTATTGAGCATATCTTGTTGGATTTTAGATGGTGGTATCCTTTTGAGCTTGAAATGTTTTATCACTGCAAGATCCTCCAAATTATCCATTTTCACCAGTTTGCAGACCCTGTTCACTTCAAAAATCTGCAGCGAGCTCAAAATATGATTTTGTTTCATATGAATAAGGAGATGTGGTAGATTGAAAATTATCATTTGGTTTGCCTGGCTACTTGATTGCTGTGCCAGGCTCAGCAATTTTCATTCAACCCACGTACAAAGTAAGTTTGCACTAGTGTAGCCCCTTTCCATGTTATTCTCCCACCATTACGTTCGTATAATATTGTAACAGACCTTGATGCCCATTACATAAACTTAGCTCTGGATCGGACCACAGGTCGGCAGCGTTGAATGTCATTTAGACAAAAGTATCCAATCATGAGGAAAAATATAACCTTAACATAGTGTAGGTTTGTGCCAGAAACTTGGACATCAGCGATGAAGTGACGACTGGTAGAATGAGGACACTTGAACTATGAAAAGCCGACCTAAGAGCCCTGTCTTCGTTGTGAAGGTCTGCGGGTCAATGCGATTATGTGCACAGTACCGGCGTTTATACTACGCACGACTAAATTCAGTGTAGCGAGCAACATGCCTCACACATAGCAGCCAGCTGAAATCAAGAACGTATAAATGTACAAAGTGTATAAGTTAGATGGATTAGTGGCATCAGTTATCGAATCTGCCAATGCATCCATGTTTCATGGACACACACAGTGTCTTTCATCTACTTTTGTACGGGATGTGAAGCATTCTAGCAGGAAGAGGTAAGAGGTAAGGTGCATTTTTCTAGTCCAGCGATGTGCTCATGTTTTTCATAACTTACGGTATGTTTTCAATCCGTGTGAGAGTGAGCTTATTCATCCAACCAGTAGGCAATATAGACCTCACGGAATGCACCCAACAGGCCGTAATACCACTGAGGTACTTTATTCAAACTGTTAACACCTTCTATCTCTCTGCCTTTAATAGTCATCATCAGCGTCAGCATAATAAATGCACAATAACTGAGGCTAGTTCACACACTTTAGTTAATGTGCCGCAATACAAAAGATAATGTGTCAAATATTATGGCTTACAAAAACGAAGAAAGGTAATCTAATGCTGAATATCAAATTTCTTTTTGGGTATGCGATCGTGGTTGGGGTGGGAAAATAAGCGGGAGGGGAGGGACAAAGAAACTCAGCGCATACGCCATTGAGGCCGACTCTTCGCCATGTGAACACGTGTATCCAACCACTTGTGTTTAACGTCCTTCAGACCTCAGTCATTCAGTCGGGGTCTGGTAGGTATGAACGGACGCCAACTTTGAACTGAGGTTTTCATTCCTCTCAAGCCATCTCTTGATCTCCTCTTCCATCCACAACCCCTGCGGGCAAACAATGCGTGTCACTGGAGTCGGTGGGCTGGCATGCGCAACACGTGGCCCAGCCATCGGAGCCTATTGCGTGATATAATCGCGCTGAGCGGTTCACAAGCTCTTCCTGCACCTAATACGCGTCGCCGAACACACTATTTGCTCACGCGGTGTTCCCACCAGACATGAGCTATGCTGTGAACGCAGATATGGTTGAAAGTAACTAGCTTCCTTATGTCAGCTGGTCTGATGGGCCCGGTTTCGAAAGCGTACAGGAGAGGTAAACGGATGACTGTATTGGAAACTGCGCTTCAGTACGAGAGTGATGTAACATCGGCGCCACAGATTGCGATAAACAAAAGTAGCTCGAAATTTCCATCCCACTGGAGCTAATATAGCTTCCCAGATACTTGAATTTCTGGACGACTTTTAGCTTACCACCACCGAGGGTCATCACAAGAGTGGATCCCTGACAGTCTTGTTGAAGCACTTTGCATTTCGAGGGTGCAAAACATATCCCGAAACAGCTGACAACCAGCACTAATCTGTGCAGTGCCACTTGGCACATTTGGTGTCTGTTACAGATGAGGGCAATGTCGTCTTGACCCTAAGTCGAACATGAGCGCCGTGCATCTCTATTTCTATCTGTGACTCGGTTGTTCCCGTCACCCGCATCGGCCAGACTGACTGGTGTATGTGTGTGTGTGTGCGCGTGCGTGCGGGTGTGTGCATGCGCTTTTGCGCAACTGTCACCTACGACCAGCCAATAGCAAACGTAAATATGACTGTTTCCGATATGGATAATGGTCATTATGCAGTAATTTTGCGTCATGAACTAGTTCATCCCCGCGCTATATCACAGTTAGCTTGTAAATCAAGACGGTCCGAAGCTGTTCCACGTATTCCAGTGGCCTAAGCTGCTGACTGGCGGTTCAAGCCGCCCGTGGTCATGGGTTTGAATCCTGATGGATCCGATGGATACGCACTACTGATGCTGCCCAGCAGGCTAAAACTGCAGTAGTGCTTTTCCGGGCATATAGATGACTCTGATTTGGAAGCTGGCTGCGAAGAACCACAATTAAAATAGTTCATCCGTCGATGTTGTACCTGGAAGTGAACGTCCTGTTTTCTATTTCAGATCAACGGGATCACACATGCAAATACTGTGGCAAATTGTTTTCTTTTGAGTGCCGTCTTCGAGCACACGTAGACGCTGTTCACTTGAGTGAGTTCTACATCGCGCGTTTGTGATTTCTTCCGATGACCTAACGGACTTGTACGATTGTTTATCGAATGTTAGTTGTGATTGACATCTAGTTTTGGCTTGGTATTTATTCTGCGAGTTTATTGCCCTTGATGAGAACGACATGGAACATTGGTGGCCAGCCGACTACGCATGCTAATTTAGTCACGCAGTCACAGACTACTGAGTTGGAAGTCAGCTGACTGTACTGTGGCCACGGCGAGGTGGGACATTGTGTTTTGCGGCTCTCTATGGTTTCAGTCAAGCTGCAGTGGTAGGGGTGGTGGATTCAGGACCTCTGACGTCGTTGAGCTTCTTGATTTTCGCATTTCTTGTTGGCACCGATTGTCAGCCTTCAATTGTTGCTTCAATGTATACACGATCAGATCATTAACTCCCACTTCATCTCCGTTTTTAGCATGTTGATCGGGATCTTGGGTGACTGTTCCCCGCTTTGAACACTGCATACTTTTGTCGAGAAACCTGATGTGGCTCAGTTATATGTGGCCTATAGATTAGACGCGGATACCGAAGCAGTTATAAGGTCAACTGCGTTTGGGGTAGCTTCGTTACCAGGACATATATATATATATATATATATATATATATATATATATATATATATATTACTATGTTATACAATGCACCCGATATCGGTGGAGTAAACCCATCGGTGACTGTCGCTTTCGCAATCGCAACTTCTCTGCATGCACGAGGGATTTCTCTTGTGCTTCGGCAAGGGCCTTCGTGTCGGAGAATAACGTTTTGGATGCATGTGCTGTTTGCACCAAACACAATATCGGACTTCTGCGTTACTTACGTGATGCTGCCACTACACGCGGGCAATCGTGCGCGGACAACGATTTCATAAACTGACAGTGGTTTTATGTCTTCCGAGCGAGTCGGCTTGGTTCTACAGTCGTACAAGAGGACCGCGTCCTGCCCTTGAGGCTGGTACTAACGTCTCGACGGTGCCATAAATGTCTCACTCTGATGAGTGCAACACGGGCCTTTGAGAGCCGCTGTAAGACCTTGTCTCCAATACAGCCGCAAGCTGTGATGCAACTCCCTAACTAAGTGAAGCCGGGGACTTGTTCCAGGACGTCACCAGCAATCGTGAGGGCAACCACGGACATGAGCCACTCCTGGAGTAGTGTTTTACATTTATATGGGGTGAAATGTAGACCATGCTTAGGGGCCTCCATCGCTAAGCGGTTCAAAGCGCTCTGGATAGTTTGCGGGTCGTCCCTAAGCAAAGTGATGTCATCTGTGGAGTCGAAGTCCAGGACTCTGTCACCTGGGAGAAGCTCAATACCGCATTTTCGCGGACCATCCAATGCTCGCTGGACGACATCTTCAGTAGCAAAATTGAAGAGGGTAAGTGAGGTGGGACAACATTTGTGCACGCCGCTGGTGGCACTAAACGAAGTGGAAAGCGTGCCGTAAGCCGTGACTTTTCGCGATGTGTGACTGTAGAGATCCTTCAAGAGGGTTACAAACTTATCGGACATGCCTTTCCTTAGTATGCAGTTCTACAACGCAGATGTATCTACTGAGTCAGAAGCCGATCGGATGTCCAAGAACGCTAAGATTGTTGGCTGTCGGTGGACGTGACGGAGTTCAAAAGTTTGACTGAGTGTGAAGATGTGGTCAACGCAATCTCAGCCTGGACAGAAACCCGCTTTTCCTCTTATGAAACGCAGAAGTTTCGAGGATCTTACCGAAATCCAGCTTGTGCTTGTGCAGCGGGTGAGTCCGCAGCTGGACAAGCCGGCAGATAACAATGCTTGCTGCAGATTTCATCAACATCCGGAGCATGGGTGGGGGGGAGCGAGATTTTCACGAAGCGTCTGTAGACACTGCGTTTACACCGTTGGGTCCTACAACCTGTGAGTGTTCAATCGGATTTGCATGCAAACTATCGCACACACCAATGCATGGTCGGGTTCCACGCAAGTTGACAAAAATAATCGGCAATCGCATACGCTGCCGCGCCATCTGCAACTTTCGCTGTCTGATCAATTTGTGAGCAGCGCTGGTTTGACCTTGTAGGACTCCAGGTGGCATAGTGGCGCCCGGCGTGACGAAACCTCGTACTTGAGGGGAAAATTTGGTGGTAAGCGCATAGACTGAGCAGTCTCTCTGCGTTGTCAGAGAGAACATCATTATACCTATGCAGTCCACTGAAGTAGCAGCAGCCGACCAATACGTGCGTTTAAATCTTCTGCCATAACAATGATGTCTTTTTTTGCACCCTTAGGAGCAGCTCATGAAGATGTTGATTTAACTTATCCTTGACTGTATCCGCGATGCAATGAGTGGGCGCGTAGGTGGAGACCACGAAAGGTGCACGCTTGTCTACTCGGTGCCTGCGAACTTTGCAAAAGTCACCGAACCTCAGCGTACGGGCGACTGTTGACCGGAATCCAGTCAAGGAAGGTGGCCTCGTTTGTAGCACTGATGGCGATTTAAAAACCAGGTTGATCAGATGCGGATTCAGCTTCACGAGAAAGGCGAAGATAAAAGCGGACGTGTGGTTAGACTTGTGACGACAACTAGTAGACTGTGTTGGAATCCTGGAGTCGTGTTTTAGTCCGACAGTAGACGTCAACTGTAGGGGGTATCCATCATGCATGCAAGTCCAGCTTGCTCTCCAATCTGCGGTAATGTGCGCAGCTTGGGGTTTCCCAGTTTGAACTGCATTTTAAGTTACAACGGCGAAGATGTAAAAGTTCAGGGTTGGCGGCTCCCTATCGAGGACTGTGTGCTTGAGTTTATTCGTGACCATAGAACGACTTCATCGGCGGAGGTAGGGTTGTTCACAATTAAATAATCAGGTGACTATGGGTATGAGTGATACAAGGAAAGACTATGTAAATTGGTGGCGTTTGTTTGTGAAGCTGGCGTAGTCTTAGGATAGTGGGTCATGAGAGCAAGAGAGCTTAGTTGTGTGATCTCATGCTTCATCAGTTGGCTAGCTACTACCCGGTTTCCTAAGTCAAACTAGACGGATTGTCTTAGGGGATCACGGCCCCGAGCCTTTGGCCGAAGGGTGTAGCCCACAAGACAGCAGCGCGCAATAAGTGTTCCGCACCCGTTGGGAGCCGGTGACTGAACATTCAGTTCATACGCCTTTCGGATGACCAAAAGCCACACTTCTGACCAACTCTCCCGAGATGAAAGTCGGTGTCCGTTGCCCGGTATACAGTGTCTTCCTGAAAGACAAGGGGCAGTGACTTTAGTTAGTGGCGAGTCACATCCACCACGTCGCAGTGTTGTTAAGCGAACACTTGTGAGTTTTTATAGGGAGAAAGCTTGCCAGGCACAAACCCACCATGCCCTGAGAAACTGCAGTTGAGCCATTCGCCGGAACGGGAAATACCCGAACCGCCCAACTTGCACCATGAGGAGCCTTGTTCGGCAGACCAGCTAATTTCCGTATTCGGAACTAATGTCCGTTTTGGGGTGCTACCAACTTCGTATACCACGACTTGTATGCGCACATATTCCATCAGATCATGTGGTTCTTATGCAATTGCTTACTTTTTGTTTCTCCATTCAGAACTACGCCCCCATGTATGTGAGCTCTGTGGGAATTCGTTTCCAACAAACAGCTATCTGCAATTGCACATCCGGACCGTACATCAGGGTAAGTATGGAGCTTATGTTTTGTCTTATTTTAATTGTATCACACGGCGTCGCTCCATCGTCCCCATCACGAGGCATCGTTGACATCATACTGCTTGTCTGTTCTTATCTTTTCATGTTCTCCTAACTCGCCCTCATCATACTTCATAGAGTGTTTAAATATTCTCGGTCGATTACCTTGTTGCTGCATTTACTAGACTCCGGTTGAGCGATTGTTGACGTTTAAACGGCCGAAATAACTATGAGAAATCCTTTTTGCTGTTGTATTTAAAAATTACTCATGCATTCATTTTTCTCTCTGTCATATTTTCCAAGTGTTGCTCTTCTTATTCCTTGGCGGAGCTGTACGCTATCTAGCGCGTCCCCAGGTTTCGGATTGGGGAATGCCTTCTTTGTGGAGGTAGCTGCGAATAAGTCTCGTATGCTTTGCAGGCGATATGAATAAGCAGTCGTGGACAATCAGCGGCAACGTCTCAGAGCGTGGGAGGTTCTGGCCTGGTAATCTGGTTCTCCATCAAATACCATAAGTGCTAGTACGGCACTGTGTCAAAGCCAATGCGACCGGCTATCATCATCATCATCATCATCAACAGCAGTACATCAGCCATTTGAACTGATGCTTCGCTGCCATACAACCATGAGGACCTATGAAATAAAGAATAAGAAGAGGGAGAGAAGGGGGACTTACCTGAAAACCTTAATGCCCTAAGCAAACATTCAGGGTCAAGGCGCCTACACCTTGTGTTAACAACATTCCGTCACAAACAGCTGGCTATCGTGCAAAGATAAGGCGGCATCGGCGAGACAGCTTCCTTGCGGCTTTCACTGCCACGCGTCATAATCAGCCATTACCCCGCAGATAACTCAGCACCAAACACACTTTAAACAGACAATCCAATTAGGAGACGGCAGCAGACGCGCCACTGGTGTCGGTTGCGAGCCATGTCCTGTAAAGTCTCGAGCCAAGCACAAGGTGAGTCACGTGGGCTCCAACCCGGAAGGCGAGACGGACCAACGGCACCCAGTTTGGTCGTCAGTGACTTCATTTCCCGCTGCCAAGTCAACTTCTGTCCACCTCGAGCCTTGCGCCATCCGACACCTGGTAGACTGAACAAGGCCCTCCTAGGTAAGCGGTGACCAGGCATGCGTAGCACGTGCCCGAGCCAACGCAACTTATTCAGTGCTATCTGTTGTTCTAGCGAGCTAGCATGATCATCACCACCTAGTACTCGCCTACGCACATCATCGTTGCGGACACGCTGGTGCCATCCGACACCAGCAATGCTTCGCAAACAACGATGATCAAAGACTTGAAGGCGCCTCAGATCTTCAGACCGAAGGGGCCAAGTCTCACTACCATAAAGCAGAACGGCCCTCACTGTGGCCTTGTATACACGGCCTTTCAGACGGAGGGAAACTCCCTTCTGTCGCCAAAGATGACGCAGGTTCAAGAAGGCAGCTCTGGCCTTTGCAATGCGTGAGCTCACGTCAGTTTCTATGCGCCCATCATTGCTGATGCAGCTGCCAAGATAATTGAATTGATCAACCATCTCGAGTTCCTCGTTAGCAAGCGTCAAGGGGTCATCGAGTGGCTGGTGGTCCTGCAGCAACACTTTGCACTTTGAAGGTGCGAAGTGCATACCAAATAATGGGACCACTCTGGATAGACTATTCAGGGTTGATTGTGCCGCCTCAACATTGTCGAAAAGCAAGACGATATCGTCCGCATAATCTAGATCAACTAACCGTTCACCAGGCAGCACTTCAACACCTACATCGTGAGATTCCGCAAGGGAACACTCCATGATAGAATCCACGACGAAATTGAACAAAAATGGGGAAATCGGACAACCCTGTCGAACGCCACTTGTAGTCGGAAAGCTATCCGATAGGGCACCATAGACCCTGACGCGGCCTCTAGTGTTCGAGTATAGAGCACGAAGGATGTTCACATATTTCGTGGGAACACCTTTTCGCGCAAGTATTTCGAACAGAATCGATCGATCGACTGAATCGAACGCACTCTTGAAATCGAGGAACACAGCTATTGTCGGTCTGCGGTATGCGTGGCGCTGCTCTAGCACCTGCCGCAAAGTAAATATATGGTCTATACAGCCACGTCCTGGGCGAAAACCGGCCTGCTCTTCTCTAATCCGAGATTCCCGTTCTGCAGTGAGACGACGAACGATAATCGAGGCCAGTAATTTTGTCACAACTGGCGTTAGGCTAATACCCCTGTGGTTCGCACAGTCTGTGCGACTGCCCTTTTTGTATATTGCCACTATAATCGATTCGCTCCAATTAGCCGGCACACTCTCTTCGTTCCAGATACGTTCGAATAGGGAGGTCAGTGCTTTGCAGAGGACCTCACCTCCATCCTTAAATAGTGCAGGTGGTAGGGAATCCGGGACAGCGGCACGAAAACGATTGAGGGCTGTGATCGCGTTTCGGACCTCGGCCTCCGACGGAGGCTCTAAACTAACCGTCCATGGCTCGTCCTGCATCACTTGAGTAGGAAGAGGTCCGGGAGCAAGGGGCCAGCTGAACTGATGTTCAAAATGTTTCGCCCAACGAGCCATACGGCGCTCCTTATTGTGTATCAGCGCTCCCGCGCTGTACTTGATTGATTCACTGACGCCTGGTTTCACGGGACCAGTGGTGCGGATTAGCTGGAAGAGCTTGCGGTAATTGCCTACTGCTCTG